AAATGCCAAATGTCTTCTTTGATATAAGGAGAGTAACTAGGAACAGAGTAGGGAAGAAGAGCATGAAAAGAAGATTAACATTAAACAGGGATGAGAGGTGGGAGGGAAAGGGAGAGAGAAGGGAAAATGCATGGAAATGGAAGGAGACCCTCAGAGTTATACAAAAGTACATACAAGAGGAAGTGAGGGGAAGGGGAAAAATAATATAAGGGGGACAAACGAATGTCAGTAGAGGGAGCAGAGAGAGAAGAGGGGAGGGGAGGGGAGGGGAGGGGAGGGGGGATAGTAGAGGATAGGAAAGGCAGCAGAATACAACAGACACTAGTATGGCAATATGTAAATCAATGGATGTGTAACTGATGTAATTCTGCAATCTGTATATGGGGTAAAAATGGGAGCTCATAACCCACTTGAATCAAATTGTGAAATATGATATATCAAGAACTATGTAATGTTTTGAACAACCAACAATAAAAAATTAAAAAAAAAAAAAGAAGCTAAGTACTTTGCATAACAGCAACAGAAAAAATGCCCTGAGGGCAACTCAGGAATCAGCAAGATGATGCCTATTGAAGAGTCGAGGGTGTAGAAGTGAAAACTTGTTCCAGAGGCCAGGGGGAACCCTACCTACACAGGGGTGCCTAGGAAGTTGTTCCCCCAGGGTGCATTTCACTGTGCTCAGCTGCCCAGTCTATCAGAGGCCACTGCAGCTGTGGTCCAGAGTGGTATGGTTATTACTGGAGCTGGCAGCAGACATTGGCGTCATTCATGTGGTACTGGTTCTTCAGGAATGCAGAATGCCAGAGTTAGGGGGGTCCAGAACTTTCCATTGAGATTTCAAAGGAAGGCTTGGTGAGTCAGGTGAAGTGTAGCAGGGCTAGAGTCCCTGCAAGCAGGGGTCACTGAGAGTGACATGTGAGGCTATACAGGTGAAGCTGAAGTTGGGATGAAGACCCCCATATTAAGAGATGCCAGGAACGAGGAACATTTGCTGAGGTGCTGGCTGCTGACAGACACAGCATAAGAGAAAGACCATGTGGGCTGCAACTGGCAAGGATCAAATAGGAGCTGCCCAACCCTCTGGGATCACATCTTGCCGGCATATGCTCCAGATGCCCAAGGTGGACAGACAGGACCTGTTGCCTGGCTAGATTTCAGTTTTGCTTTGGTCCCATGTTTTCTTTACTTCCCCCTAATTCTCCCTTTTATGAATGGAAATGTTTACTCTGTGCCATTATATATTGTATATATGTTAAGTTTCTTTTGATCTTGACAGGGGCTCAGAGCCAAGAGTTGACCTTAAGTCTCAGAGGAGGCTTTGGACTTAGACTTTTAGATGTTGCTCAAACGTTTAAGCTTCTGGGGATTCTTGTAAATGGACTCAGTGGATTTTGCACTGTGAGATGGCATGAGCTTTAGGGGGCCAGGGGCAGAATGCTCTGAGGTGTCACCCCAAAGGTCGGGAGACAATGTGGCAATGATGAGAGGTGAAATGATCAGATTCTGAGAGCTATAACCTCATCAGTGAATGGATACATTTGATGGGTTAATAATTTGGAAGGACTACTGTACCAGGTAATATCCACAGGCAGCAGGGTGTGGCTGGAGGAATAGGTCAGTGGCAGGTGCCTTGGGGGTTTTATCTTGTCCCTGGTGCCTCACTTGCTCACTCTGTGCTTCCTTGCTGCTATGAGGTAAGGAATGTTCCTCTGCCACAAGGTTCTGCCTCCTCTCAGGCCCAAAGCAATGGAAATGGCCAACCATGGGCTGAGCCTCTGAAACTATGAGCCAACATAAACTTTTCCTCTCCTCTAAGTTGTTATTTTCAGTATCTTGGTTACAGTAATGAAAGATGACTAACACAGATACGTAATCTAATTCTCAAAAGGATTTGTGGCTGCTCCTTGAGGCTAAAAAAGATGAGTGAGTCTCTCTCCTCTTACACTGTACTCTACCCTTCACAGCCGTGTCCTCCTTTGCTGCTCATCTGGTAACTCTAAAACGTAGACATGGTTGTCAGGGATGTCTCTGCACATTAGCAGCCAGCAAGGCACAGGTGCTGACCATTCACAGCAGAGTCCAATCACAGCAGCGGGTGCTGACCTAAGCATCAGTGCCCCTTCAATAGCACCTGAAGCCTGCAGATCTCCAAGATCATTCGAGAAATGAATAACTTAGGAACAATGGGGTGCCTGTACCCACACAGGAAGGCTTACCATGCTACAGAGTCCAGCACACTTGGCCAGAGACACAAGTCTGGAGGAGAAGGACTGCAAAGAAAATGAAGGAGAAAAGAAACGCAGGCTTTGAAGACCTGGATGTTAAACCAGGTTTTCTGGAATAAAATATCTGGTTCTCAAAGCTCTGCAGGAACTAGCAGGATCCCACTTCATAGCCAATTTGCAGATGACCATGAGCTGCAGCTGAGGATGAAACTGACCTTGCAGGCTCTCTGTGGTGAGGCCATTTGCCTTGTTTGCCTTCTGCTTCAGCAGTGGGTCCAGCTTCCGCTAGACTTGCACACTGATGTGACATTGACGTGGATGTCAGCAGGGTCCTGCAGGTTCCCAGGCGTCCTTGGAACGCTGTGGCTCCTTCTGCATTGGAAGGTCCTCCAGGTTTCTCTTCCTGTCTCCTGCACTGGAGGCACAGCCAGGCCATGGTAGTCACCGTTTTCAACAACATCCATGAAACTCCAGATACGATGAACTGCAGCTTGTCAAAATGTTGTGACAACATGTTTATCTTTGAGAAACAAATTCCTGCCTGAAGTTCAGCTGAGCACAGTAAATCCCAGCCTCTGGAAAGGCAGAGACACCTGCTGAAGGAGCAACCACTGTCACTCTCCGTCAGTCTGGCTGTCACCGTGGACAGCATTTCTTCTAGGAGGTGCAGTGGAGAGAGCCTTGGTCACCAGCACATGCTGATGAAATAACAATGGGTCATGACATGACCACGGGGACCAATCTTTGTTCTTCTCAGAAGAAGGAGAATAAGAGGTGAAAGTCCCCTCTCTGAATATCAAGTGCCTGCCTGCTTCCGACGCCTGTTTCACCAGGAGAGGAAACTTCCTGACATTTGGGAAAGGTCTGTTTGCCTTTGAGGTTATGTTCCTTTGATGTTTTCAAATGGGGCTCACGTAGATATTTTTGATGTTGCCCTGGTCGAAAATGGGTGACCTCTAGGATCTGTCAGAAGCAGTCAAGAAAGCAGTGATGTAGCTGTCCTCTGTTCCTTTATAGCCACCTCAAGTGACAGCAGTGGCATAGGGCATTCTGTTCTGAAGTGTGTCATGTGACAAGAGAGCACACTTTTTTCTTTTAAGCCATCAATCCCTCAATCATGCCAAGTTTTCACATGTGACAGTTTCTTTGGCAATGAGATGAGCTCTGGTGGTAGTGATCTGGGTGCAGTGGTTCTGGACCATGGTTTTGTATAGCAATCCCAGATTTTGTTAGATCCATTTTTTTTCAAAGCATGCAACATGCCCCAGGGGTGGGTCCACGGAAGGCCTTCTTCTGGACCTTAGCACTCGTGGCTTTGTGCACCCGGGTGAAGGGCTCAGCACAGAGGCAGTGTGCTTCACCGCACGCACTGAGTCCTTCCTTTCTCCACAGCTATCTCCAGCTTCAATACAACCCATGCAAAGAGGGACGGGTGTTCATGGCCACAACAACAGGGAGTGTTTCCAGTGGAACAGCACACCTCAAATCTATCCCGGACATCACGAGGTGTGCATGGTGGTACTTTTGCACCTCCTAACCCAGGTTACTTTAGTGTGAAACACTATTTTTACAGCACTACAACCCATAGCAATGATTCTTTTCCCCTACAAAGACAATTTTCTACTTACGGAAAGAAAATAGAAAAAGAAAAGAAAACTAATTTGGTTCTAATTCAGCTAAAAAGTGAGAAAGAGATGTGACAATCATCTTAAAGAATGAAAATTCAAGAAAATATATTGAAGCTGGCAGTCTTGACCCAAGACTGAATAAATCTTTATGATTCTCTGGGTTGAGTAGTATATTTTCTTTAATAAACAAATTTGCAGCTGTTTCATCAGCACAGATATGAGGAAATTTTAGAGTGGAGACAGAAGGTGAGTGAGGGATTACAGAGGATTAGAAGATTTTTTTGGAGTGTCAACTTTAAAGTCCATTTGCCAAATACTTGCTTCTAGGGATATGCTAATGAAGCTGAAACCAAACATCACCCAGAACAGCAGTGAGCACAGTCAAGAAGAGGAAGCATTAGGCAATGTGGATCCCACACAGGGGCCACCTATGTCATAGCATTCCAGCAGGTAAATCTCATACTTAAAAAGCAGGGGAGGATTGCTAATGGCCAAGGTTTGCTATGTTAACACATATTCTAAGAAAGGTGCATGCTGAATGTCTGTGTATTCTCATTAAGCCCTCAAGAGGCTATGAGTACCTGGTTTATAAAACCCACAGTTCTACAATCACGGGAGGCTTTCTTTCATGTCAACGTTTGAAAAACTCCTTAATGTGTAGTCATATAACCTTGGGACTTTGAATAGGCATAAATACATAACTCGATAAATAAAGTGCTAATAAGTATGATAAGCTCTCTACTATTAACCAGCCTATAAACCAGACTGCACACTTATTACCAATAACTCAGGAGCCCTGTCCTTCTATCAGTTATTCTTCATGTAATTCAAATGATGGCCTGTGGTATTGTAAGATGCTCCACTGCTTATAAATCAACTGAAGAGGGCTGAAATAAGACCACAGAATTTTAGGGAGGGCTACATTTACTGGCTTCTACTGATTTAACACGATCAATCCAGGCGTGTGGCAATGGCTACTACATTATTCACGTGTCGGCTCATTTGAAAACAGAAACTGAGACGGCCCATGTTATGAGCACTCTGAGAAGCCCAGAACCACAACATTGGCTTTGCACTCTTAATATATGGCTGGGTAATGGAGAATCTGCCTTGAGATCCAGTGTAATGACCGAGTAGCGATGCTAACCTGTGACCAACTCCCGGATCTCCAGGTCCGTAGTCTTGCGGAGTAACCTCACCAGTGCGGGGATGCCACCGCAGTTTTTCAGGGCGATTTTGTTATCATCATTGGCCTTTCCATACACCAAGTTCCTCAGGGCGCCGCAGGCACTGCGGTGGACTTCCGTCATCCGGTGATCCAGCAGGTCCACCAGGAGCTGTATGCCCCCTTGTCTCCTTATCTGAAAGAGCAGAGGACATGACTTTCACCTCAGTGAGCACAGTTTCACTACCTAAAGCAAAACATGTTTTTTTTTTTATATGAAGAATCTGCTACAATTAATTGCACTGAACTGAATTAAGACATGCAAAGGGAAAAGAAAGCCATTAAGTGTTCCCTGATTTTATTGCCTGTACTTGCTTTAATATCCTCCCAATAAAAATTTAAATGTATTTCTTTCAAGCTATAGAATTTTGGAAAGGTGATTTTCACTTTAGAATGGGTGTCTCAGACATTTCTCTCTAAAAATATGCCACACATTCACGGCATGAAGCAGATGGAGGAGCAAAAGGCAGGAGAATGGTCCCCATTCCTTAGGCTTATTAAATTTAACCACTGTCTTACAAGGCTGCAGGGTTGATGCAGGAAATGCTAAAATTATGCTATTTAATAGGGAAACACTCCAAATGATTCAAAGGAACCAGGAGCTAAATGAGAAACTGGAATCCTTGCCACAAGGAGTTTTATTTATCTCAGAAGATCTGGGAAGATGAGAATGTCACTCACAATGAGAGACAGAACATGTTGAGCTAAGTAGTTGCACTTAGGTATTTGATTAAAAACAACAACAACAAAAGCTGCATTAAATTTTCGTGTCCTTTTTACCCAGAGACAATTTTAATCTTTTACAAGTAAATGTGAAACAACCTTTGCAATGTGTTTGCAAAATGCCTGCTTTCCTTACTGCCCTTTGATGTTGGGACCTCTTTTAAAATTTAAACTGGAAGCAAAACAAAGTGGCTAGTTAACATGCAGACTATTTCACAGTTGCCACGGGTGAAGCTGTGTCTGAATACCTCTGCATTTAACATGGGAAAATACAAGAATTCATTTTGTAATGTCCTTCTCGTTTGCTTTGTTTAAACTTCAATGTTTCCCAGGGACAGAGCATTGGTACCTTCTCTACTTAATTTTCTTATTACAGAAAACCCATCCATCTCACTGATATGCCAGGACCCATGGCCAAATCCTCCCCCCGCTCTTGGTGTTATGCAGATGCTACCTTCTCTATGAAGTTCCTCTAACCACATTGCTTAAAACTATAATCTGAACCACACCCACCCTCTGCCACAGCATCCTGGTTTAACCTTCATTGGGAACAGTGTTCTTCAGACCCTTGACAGGCTCACCTAATTTGTTACATTTATTGTTATCAGCTGTGTCCTGTTTGAAGGCATGTTCTGGGAGGGCCAATCTCCTTGTTTGGTTCACTGATGTATTCTTATTCCTACCACAAGTGCATGGCCAAGAACATAGCAGATGCCACTAAATGTTTGCTGAATGGATGAATGAGGCTAGTCAGTTACTATGTCACTTGCTACCTAAGTATTCCTCAAATTTAATAGTGCTTTTTAAGATTAAGCAATAACCTCTTCAAAGGGATGAAAACACCCTTTTATGAAGAGCCAAGAATGCGGCCCTGAGGCCCCAGCAGCAATTGCTACCTGCTTACAAACAAAATGAAGGCAGGCCTCACACCTATGGTGGGACCACCCATGGGCCATCCATTCCTATAGGAATGATTTTCATTCAGCCACAAGTGAGAGCAGGAAAGAAAAAAACCCTCAAAGAACGCATGGGCCATAAAAGTTTTTATTTTGGAAACTTTATGCACAGTACTTCAAGTATTACACCCCGTGGGAGAAGCACCAGGGCAGGAGGAGAGGGGACTCAGGACCACAGTGCTGAGCGGGGTACCATCCTCCCAGGCTGTCTGCATGGCACCTGCAGATGACTGCTCCGGGGATTACCAAGTCAAGCTGAGAAAAAGCAGCCAGAAACCACTTTGCCCAACTGAGAGTTCTGCCCAGTTGTACTGCTTCGCATCTACCCCAGGAAGGTGAGTTTGTATTGCTCCTTGTGTGATGCAAACTAGAGGTGTGTCCTTAAAACACATCTGGATTACATCCACCTCCACTCTATTAAAGCACCTCAGAAGGGATACTGCATTTGTATGGAAAGTTTAAACTGTGAATATCCATTTTTTTTCTATGTGTGTGTATTGAAATTGTGTGCTTTACCTTAAAATTCTCTTGGTTTAATATTTAAATAATGATAAAGCCATTAAAAAGATAACAAACTTATTTATACAGTCAATCTGTCAGTTATATATTAAAGACAGATGGCATATAGTAAATCAGAAAACAAAACAATTTCATCCATACCTATGTATTTTAGTTATTGTGAATATCATAATTAATATTCTAATTTATGACATTTCCCATTCATGTGACTCAATAAATTAAGCAACTAAAATATTATCCAAACTCATTAAGAGGGTAAATGAGTTCAGAATGAATAAGATGAATTCTTAATAATATAATGAGATCACAATATTTTCATCATGACCCTAATTAATTCCACATACTCAAATTCTATTTGAATCTATTTAGAGAAACACAGATAAGATCATAGCACTTTCCTTTCACTCCTGTTTGGGGCCACCAGGTCATCTATATAAAAGCTTTTGTTTTCAGGAGGTTGAATGTTATCTTAGAATTTGAGACTCCCATTTCAGTTTTCTAAAGCCAAAAGTTAGTCGGAATCAATATTTAAATATTCCCACCTGTGAAATGGGAAGTCAGGTCTTTGGTGCCTCGTGCCCCTCCCCCTGCTTCCAGCAGGAACAGAGGGGAAGCCCTGCCCGGGACGTCTCCTCCTGGTCTGCTCTGGAGGACCTGGGCTGTCCTCGTCCCTTCTCCTCTGCTCTTTCTCCTAGATCTTTCTTCCTCATTCTTCTGGCACATAGTCAAGAATCCTTTAAAGTCTCCAAACAAACCTATTCTGAACATTAATAAAGTATAACTTTTTGAAACACTACCAGGGGATGCTCTTCTTTAGAAGTGGGACCTTTACGTCCTGTCCTACTCCATGTCCAGCAATCTTTCTGACTCATCTCCCCCATGAGGGCTCTACATCCAGCAGGCTGAGCCCGGTCACTGCTGGTGAGTTGATCCTCTCACCTCATTTCCTGAACCATCTTCATGCCGAATTCTCAAATCTCAAAAAAGTCTAGGTTTAATATAACTAAAATAAAGTCAACCAAGTTAGCTAATATGTAACCTTTACCTTTAACAACAGAATAAAATGCCCTAGAAGAAAGTAAGAAAGAAAAGTAAGACAGAACGTAGCAAGTGAATAAGTACCAAATGAGTGGAAGACTGGTGTAGTTGGTTTTTATATATTCGTTTCCTCTCCTCCTCCTCCTTTTTCTTTTACATTTTAAAACTCTTTTTCCAATGGGATTTTGATGTTTTAGAGCAGTTTTGGGTTCACAGCAGAACTGAGCTGAAAGCTCGGCATTCTGTGCTCCTTGCCTGCACAAAGGTATGACCTCCCCAACCACCAACATTCTGCACTCTAGGGTCCTTTGGTTACAGGGGATTCACTTAATTGACTTACTGCTGTCACTCAACCTCTAAATGCTTCATAGTCCAAAGTTACAATAGGGCTGGTGTTGTGCATTCCACAGGTCTTGACAAATGTAAAATGGCATGTACCCCCCACCCCAGTAGTAGATAGAATGGTTTCCCTGCCCCACAAGTCCTCTGCGTTCTGTCTATTCTCTTCCCCCTTTTTACCCCAAACCTGGGAAACTACTGATCTTTTTAACCATCTCTATAGGCTTCATTTTTTCTAGGATGTCAAGCAGTTGGAACTATACAGGACACCGCCTTTTTCTTAGTAGTATTCATTTAAGGTTCCTTCCTGTCTTTTCATGGCTTGCTAGCTCATTTCTTTCTAATGCTGAATAGAATTCCATTTTATGGATATACTACAGTGAGACCATTCATTTAATAAAGAGCATCTTGGTTGCTTTTGAGTTTGAGCAATTATGTATAAAGCTGCTATAAACCTATGTGTGAGAGCTGTAGTTGCGGCTCAGTGATAAGAGTGCTTGCCTAACATGTGTGAGGCACTGGGTTCGATCCTCAGCATCACATATAAATAAATAAAGGTCCATTGACAATATATATATATATATATATATATATATATATATATATACCCTCTATGTGATGGTTCTAAGCTTTTATCCCTATGGGTAAATTTCAGAGTATAATTGATGCATTATATACTGAGAGTATATTCAGTTCTTCCAAAGTGCCTGTGCCATCTTGCACAGTGAGAGTTCCTGTTGCTCCACATCCTCACTAGCATTTGGTGATGTCAGTGCTTAGATTCTGGCCATTTTGATAGGTGTGTAATGGTATATATTGTTGTGTTTCTTCTAAGACTACCTGCATGATTTAGATTTATTTGTGTTAGTATAAATGATTGAATTAAAACAACCAATGTTGAAATTCATAAGGGATAGGATAGCTTTGATACAATCTGAATTGCACAAATCCCATATCTGCTACCTTCCTGAAGCTGACAGGCTTAGAAAATGGCTGGAAAGGGCTTTTCATAGGATAACCTGCATAGGTAGCTTTAGATTTTTTTTTATTAAATAATTCTTTGATAAGTGGCCAGATTTTGTCAGTTGTAGTTATGTCAATAGTTTACATTTATTTTTCTGCTTAGGTGAAAATTTCAGAGATCTAGAAGATAAGACTAGTCCATTAGGAGTGAGAAAGTGGAAACTGATGGACTGAATTGACAAGCAAGAAGGAAGGAAGGAAGGAAGGAAGGAAGGAAGGAAGGAAGGAAGGAAGGAAGGAAGAGGGAGGGAGAAAAAAGAGAGAGAGAAATAAAGAGAGAAAGAAAGAAAGAGAGAAAGAAACCATGCTCTGCTGCCTGTTCTGTCAGGGAAATTTAAAATCTGGTATAGACCCCATCTTAGGAACGTGTATGTTCCTGGAATGTGTATGTTCAGGCTCTGTGATGCCCATTCAGTTTCCACCAGGGGAGAATGGAAACAGCTTCCACATCGCTCCCATCAATCCACTGTTTACAAGTGTTTTTACCGTTAAAATTCCAGAGCTGAGAATACCTGAAAATCATTCAAGAGTAGGACAC